TTTATTATAAGGTATCCTGCATCCAAAGTCCATAAATATGCATGTGCAGAGCTTAAAGAATAAAAAAAGATATGCACTCAATCAATCACCAGCTAGGTAAAGAAGAAATTGTATTATCTCCCCCTTTGCATTCCCCTCTCTTCATCCCTTAAAGTAGCCAAATGCAGAAAGAATCAGTGTTCTTCACCTTGTTCATCTATTTTATCATTCAAATTGCAGCAGGAGGGAGATATGCCTACTTTATCCAATCTGACGCAGACGCTGGAAGACGTCTTCAAAAGGATTTTTATTACTTATATGGACAATTGGCGCAGGAACACAACAGCTGAGCAAGAGGCCCTACAAGCCAAACTGGATGCTGAGAACTTCTACTATGTCATCTTGTACCTCCTGGTGATGATCGGAATGTTCTCCTTCATCATTGTAGCTATCCTGGTGAGCACAGTGAAATCCAAGAGGCGAGAGCACTCCAATGACCCTTACCACCAGTACATCGTGGAAGATTGGCAAGAGAAGTACAAGAGTCAAATCTTGAATCTAGAAGAATCAAAGACCACCATCCACAAGAACATGGGTGCAGCAGGGTTCAAAATGGGTCCTTGAGAAGCAGAAGAGGCATAAAGCCAACATCTGATATCCGGGTCCGAAGAGATGCCGTGCCATGGAGCAAATCCAAGTCGTCATTGTTTAGAAGATACTCAGTTCCTTGCTTGCTGTTGAGAATTTTCACGGAGACCATGTGGCCGCTCAACCAAGACAGATGACATTTTTTTTTACTATGATCTCTTATCTTTATTTTTTTTTAATTTTATTATGTTAGTCACCATACATTACATCATTAATTTTTGATGTAGTGTTCCATGATTCATTGTTTGCGTATAACACACAGTGCTCCATGCAATACATGCCCTCCCTAATACCCATCACTGGGCTAACCCATCCCTCCACCACCCTCCCCTCTAAAACCCTCAGTTTGTTTCTCAGAGTCCATAGTCTCTCATGGTTCATCTCCCCCTCTGATTCCCCCCCTTCATTTTTTCCTTCCTACTATCTTCTTCTTTTTTTTTTTTTAACATATAATGTATTATTTTTTCAGAGGTACAGGTCTGTGATTCATCAGTCTTCAACAATTCACAGTGCTCACCATAGCACATACCCTCCCCAACGTCCATCACCCAGCCACCCCATCCCTCCCACCCCCCTCCACTCCAGCAACTCTCAGTTTGTTTCCTGAGATTAAGAGTCTCTTATGGTTTGTCTCCCTCTGGTTTCATCTTGTTTCATTTTTTCCTCCCTTCCGCTATAATCCTCTGTCTTATTTCTCAAATTCCTCATATCAGTGAGATCATATGATACTTGTCTTTCCCTGATTGACTTATTTCGCTTAACATGATACCCTCTAGTTCCACCCACGTCATTGCAAATGGCAAGATTTCATTTTTTTTGATGGCTGCATAATATTCCATTGTATATATATACCACATCTTCTTTAGACAGATGACATTTTAATTTCGGTGATTTATACTTGCTCATCGGAGCAATATTTTATGCGGAAGACCTCTTTTACTTTCTGGGCAATATAAATGGCATTTTAATCAATGTCCACTTTGACAAATTTTGTCAAGTTAGTGAAAATAAAGTCAAATTTGAAGTGAAGTGCCTGTGTGCTGACAGTGGGATTAGAGGGGGGACTAATAAATCACAGAGCCTTCTTTCTTATGAAACACTGGTTTGTATGTGACGAATTCACTTTATAAATAACCCAGCTGTGTTACCCAGAAGCTGTGGTTCAAAAATGTATCACTTGCTCCACCACCTTGACATCCGAGCGTCTATTTATTAATTCAGGAATGCAGAGTCCGAAGTGATGGACGAACAGAATCACCAGGTTACTTTATGGGTATTGTTTTCCCAACATTTTGCTTATTTGGAAGTCTGAAGACAGAACAAACATTCCACAAGGGCAAATAGTCCTCAACGGAGACGTAGCATCACCCAGTACAACAGAAACATGTTTTAAAATTAACATCTGAAGTTTTCCAGAAAACTAACTCTTCAAAGCTCTTGTTATTATAGAAAAAAATAAGGAAAAGTTGTAACATCGCCTTATAAATAACATATTTTTTGACTCAGTTTATCTTCTTCCATTTATATTTATTTTCACTTATGTTTCAAGAGGCTGATGGTACAGAAAGTGATTGCTGATGTCTGTTGAAAAGCTAGACAGTTCATTACATCTAGATACTGCATTTTGGATGCACTCCACAGATTAGGTGATTTCACCTGCTAATTAAATCAAGCAATATTTAACACCTGTCTACTTGGGCCACGAGCATAGACCCCAGGAGTGTGGAGATGAATGGGACTCTCTGAGCTGGAGCCACCTACTCATTAGAGAGAATGAGGTACATACAGAAACATCACGATGATAGAACATGACAGGTTATGAAGGAGATTAACACAGAGTGGGCAGAGCGAGAGCAGGGACGGAGGGCAGGCCTAACTCGGTTTAAAGTCTACTCTCTCTGAGTCACTGAGAGTAGGAAGTCAGAGCGAAGACAGATGTATGGGGTTGTGACTTTGTGCCTTCCAGCTTACCTTTCTCCTCCCCCATCTACTCAGTCAAAGCACAGCATTGTGAGTAGGGCCTCAAGTCTCAGAGTACTAAGACAAAATTCAAAAAAGAAGCCCTTCTTCAAGTCATGCTTGTAGGATGTCTTCCATCGACTACAAGGATTCTATCGCCAGAGTGAGATATCTACAAGGTATCTGTTTCTTGGTAACAAATGTGCAATTATGCTAACATAAGCCTTACATACAGTGTTATGGAAAGCCGTTTATATTCCCAGAGCAGATGTGGCAAGAGTGGCCTCCTTCCTCAGATCAGAAACCCAGAAATGCTATTGCACACAGAACATTTATCCCAGTGTGCCCAGAGCGGCCACCTGGGCTACAAAATCCTGGCTTTGGGTCTGGATCCAGACAGAAATCCAAGGTTTCCATTGGGTGACCAAGACTATCTTCTTCACTAACCTCTGGTCAGGCTCTTCTGGGCCCTCAAGGAGGCCTCAACCTTGGCTTATGAACACTGCATACACTTGGTATAAATGATTTTGTCCCCTTCTCCGTGCTACGAGACTTGAACTAACACTAGCATAGCTTCTAACAGCTCAAGGCTTCATCCCTAAGAGGACACCAGGCCCCTTTGGAATGCCCGCCTGAGAAAGCTCAACAAGCTGCCAGGAAAATTTACTGTTGGTTCCAGCCAAAACCTGGAGATAAGCAGATCAGCTCCCTGAATTCCCTCTAAGAGCAGTTACTTTAGAAAACTTGTAATTATAAATCTTTTCTCTCCCCCTTTGGGATAAAAATCTTTTACTACCCAGAACTGTCTTGTCTCTGGAATGCCAGCATTCACGGAGGTAATTCTCCTGACTGAGAGAGGGAAACTTGCTCTAACCTGCACCCTTGCCTCTGGTCATAAAGACAGAAATTTGTTTCTCTTTCAGGTAAGTGCCTATTAACAGAACCAGATCAGACTGACTAATCCTCCTGTTTTTATAAATATCCACTTCCCTGATTCTGCCCCACTGACCCCACTCCCTCATTCTCCCTTTAAAATGCCCAGTTACCACTGCATAAATCAAAGTGGACTTTGGTTTACACTGGGCCCTCTTCTCTACTGCAATAGTTACTGAATAAAGTCTATCCTTAAGGCTTTCACTGGTGCCCGGTTTGATCTTTGACACAGAAAACCAAATGGAAGGAAAGAAATTTAGATTTTTCTAAGCAAGTACATTTTATAATCATCACTGAAAGTATAGTGGCAAGGTAGATGATTATCAGCCAACTTTGCTTTTGGGGGATGGGAGAAATGGCCGATCTTTAGAAGCATGCTGGGTATACAGTTGTTGAAACCACTTGCCCCAGTCTGCCACTTTAGCATGGATTCCCAAAATTCCAGGCTGGCCACTTTCAACTAGGTAACTAAGATGCTAATTCAAACAACTTGCTGGGTACACCGCAGCGCACCCCCCGCCCCCGCCCCGTTTTGCTTTTAGAGCTCCCTCTGCTTAGACGACTGGCTCCATATGACCTGAATCCCACTTCCTTCTTACAAGCAGAGTTCACAAGTGGTTGCAAAAGGAGCCCATGTTAGTTGCTGCCCTGATGGGAATCTATATCCACTCCTGAGAATCAGGTCCCAGCTGCGGCACTTGCTGACTTTCAAACCCTGGGCAAATTACTTTAATGTCTTAGCGTCTCCACTTCTTCATCCGTGAATTGATTATTTTATGTCCTTCTATAGGCTGGTGGTGAGACTTCAGAGAGACCAGAGCCTCACAGTGCTCAGGACACAGCTAGTTTTGTTATTTTCTATAGGAAAACTTCGCTTGTCGACACAACTAAACCCTCCACCCTCTGTTTGTCGCTTCCTAACATCTGTACTTCATCACAAAATGTCACAGTGGGATTTGGAGTCAGTCCGCCTGTGACTGCCAAGTCGCGCGTTTTCTTGCGTCACTTATTCTCCCCTCGCTGGTTTCCCCAATCTACAGAAAGAACTCCGTGAATATTGGTCTTTATTCGGGGTCCGGCTTGCGCCCTCCCGTGGGGCAGGGACTGAGCGTCCCCAAACTCTGCATGCGCGTGCTGCGCGTTTGTTGGAGTCTGGGAACCCAGAATGGGGGCTAGCGCTTTCCCAAAGGAAAATGCAAGCATTTTGTCAGAGGAGATGAACGCTGAATTTGGAAACTTCTGGGGAGCCAAGGATCCTCAGTCGCAGACAGCAGTGGACGCGAGAGGCCCAGCACTACGGCCGCCCTCCTCCCCCAGCTCCGGTAAATTCAGAACCGTGGCCTGGACAGCAGTGCCCACCCCGGCCAATCGTGACCCGTGACCCCCGCTCAGTCTCCCAACGGCCCGGCCCACAGCGGCTCACTGCGCCGGCGCGCCGAGCACAGCGCCGTCGGAAACAGCCCGGGCCCACTGCGCCGGCGCGCGGTGCGGTGCATTTCGGGACCTGTAGTTTCCCCGCCGCATTGTGGGAGTTGCGGTTCGTGTGCAGTCCCGGCGCTGGAGCTTCCGCGGCTTGGAGCTGTAAGTGGGTCACGTCCGCGTCCGGTCAGCGGGACCCTGACCCGAAGCCCGGCAGCTCTTTGGGGCCCTGGGCAGTCGGGTGGACGGCCCCGCTTTTGCGCGTTCTGTCCAGGATGCCAGCCAGCCGGCCCCTTGCCGTGCGGCGCCAGCTCCCCGGGTGGGAACCGGGAGGGGGCTGGCCGCCGCGGCTCCCACGCGCGGAGCGCCCCTGCCTGGCTCCGGCGTCCAGACGCCGCGGAATCCGCGCACCCGGCGCCCGAGGCGCAATGTTTAGGCTGGCACGAGTTCCGGGCAGGGCCCAGAATTGTTCTGGCCAGAGGGTTTGGGTGGATGAGCGAATGTTCTGGACACCCTGTTCTGTGGATGGGTGGGGAAAGCAACGGCCGCCCGTGGCCCTGATCTCCGGATCTGAGCGGGATAGGTGGTGGTGTTCCCCAGGTGTCGGGGCGGAGAGGACCCTGGCGTGGTCCCCCGGTTACGGGGGAGCCAAGATCCAGTGTCTCTGGCCCTGGGAATCCCAGGTGACCGGGGAGTGGGGCTCAGCGGTCCACGGAGTGATGCGCAAGGTTCTCCTGCAACTAACTCCCTCCTCCCCGCACCTTCCAACTTCCAAAGATTGGGTGAAGAGTTGGGGTGACAAGGGTAGAGATTGGGAACGCGAACAGGTTCGGAACGTTCAGACTGACATATCCTACTTAGCGACTCGAAGAGTGTAGACACCAAGAGAGAGATGATCCTGGAGTTTGTTAGGTGTGCTAAGAAGAAAACGTGGATTGTGGACAATATGTTGTCCAGATTGCTTTCACTGGCCTAACCCAAATAAGCGGATAGCTTTTCTGGTTTTTAGGAGAAAACTGGCAAAGGAAAAATGAGGCTATTTTTACAGGAAAGGAGACAGAATCATTTCTATCTAAACCATTGTTATTTTTCAGATTTAAGCTAGGATTGTGGATAGTTCTAGGGAAAGGCTAAAGCCTTCCTGCACTTCATGGATTTTATACCTCAAAAGTGTTCCCACCTTTTGGCTTTTGCGGTTCGGCCCTCAGATAATGAGCTGTCTGCTGTGTCTGATGCTGCAGCAGGTGTGTGTGCCTATGGCCTGGAGCCAATAGCCTGCTGATATTTTTAGCTTTCTCAGTTGTTCTCATTTGCCAAAGTCCTGCTGGGGTGCTACAGAAATGGCTGAGTTGGAGCGTGTAATTGCAGGGCGATGGGGAAAGTTAGCATTTGGAGGCAGCAGGTGGGAATGAGCTGGATTGATCAGCCTTCTCGTCTCCCACTCTCTCACTGCATCCTTTCCGCTACTTTGTTTGCAGGTTGACTTTAAACATGTTCTTTCTAAAGAGCTTGAATGACCTCACTCTCTGTATGAAGTCCAGGCAACTGCCAGTAAATTTTCATAGTCCCATTCTGTGGTATCCCAGAGAATGGTGACTTACGAATGCCAGAGTTGCAGAGTTGTTCTTTGGATTCTGGTTTTTAAAGTAAGAACCTGTTGGTTCAGAGAGGTGAATGGCTTACCCTAGGTCACGTGCCTGCCAGGGGTGCCACCAAGAATAGAGTCCAGCTCTCTTGGTCCCTGCTGTCTTGCACTGACTGCATTTTGCCTTGCTTGCCTCTTGTTTATGGTTCTTAAGCTTGGCATGTCCATTAGCAGAGAGAGAGATACTTATTGTGACAATAATGGTTGATATTTATTTAATGTTTTCCATATGCTGAGCATGGTGCTTTGTGTTTACAATCCAGCCTCTGAAGAACTTAAAAATGAGGGACCTGAGGCTCAAAGAGGCCAAATGGCTTGTCCAAGGTCACACTAGTCTTAATCTTAGTCCTGGTTTGCCAGAGGGTCAGACCATTGGGTGTTGTTGTTGTTTATTAAGTCAACACTATTTTTTTTTTAATTTCCTTAAATAATCTCCACACCCAATGTGGGGCTCGAACTCACCACCCCAAGATCGAGAGTTGCATGCTCTACCGACTGAGCCGACCAGGGGCCCCACTGGGTGTTCTTTTTAATTTATTTCCTCCTTTGAGCTTTTTGGACCTATTTGTCGTCCTTGACCTTAGGAATCAATATCTTACATTAATCCATTAATGTATAGGACATTAATCCATTAATTCTTATGTTAATTTATGTAATTAATATATTAATTACATTAATAGGACCTCAGAAAATTAGGAACAGCCAAACTCACCTACTATATTTGTACACAACTCAATTAGAGTAAAAATAAAATTTACGTGACCTTAAACATTGCAGATTACAATATGGCTAATCCCTGAGGTTATCTGAGATTCCTGAAAGTGAAAATTCTAGCAATAGGTTATAATCCGTTAGGAACATACCCCTCCAGTGCAAGTCAGAATCTGCTGCTACTTAAAGACAACCTGGCCGTTTATCCATGAAGAAAACGAGCACCTTCAATCACCGTCATCACATTTAAACAGATTTATGGTGTACATTCCTATCATTAACTTATCTGGCTTTGAAAGAAGTCATGGGGAAAACTTGGTTATCTTGTGCCAACCACCAGCCTGTTTTCCAGATACTATGACCTTGAATAGATGAGGCATGAATTTTCTATATTTAGATGTTTTTGTAAGTAAAAGTTTTAGTGAAACATTTTTCCCTGAAGTTCTTTTTATTATCCCCCTTCTAAAGGCCTGTGACATTTTCTTGTGCTTTTCTTAATTCTAAGTACATGTGGAGACAAGCATCTGCATGATTTTTGAATGCACATCTTTCTGCCTACATCAGGATAAGACTCTGGAGCCACACTGGATGGGTTCAAATCCCAGTCCCTGTGTGACCCTGGATACGTTACATAAACTTTGTCTCCTCGTCTCTGAAATGGAACAATAACCTCTCCCTCCTAGGGCTGCATGAGTTTATGCAGCTGATGCGCCCTCGTGCAGCCCAGCACCGTGAAGTGAAGCTATGATTGTGCTCTAAGTTGCCAAATTTCATTAAAAACTGGGGCCCTAGAGCCCATTTAGTCGACACCCCCTTTCTTCATTTACAGATGGGACCAAGGCCCCAAGAGGGAAGTCACTTACCAGAGTGTGTAGGTTCTTCATCCAGAGCTCAAGTCTTCTGACTCTTGGGGTATGTGCCATATTCTAAAAATAGCCACAGAGAAGGCCCTGGGGCAAATGCTTTGCTCCAGCTGCATCCCTGACCTCCACTCCCTGCTTCACCTTCCCCTAGGTCTCCCTCACAGTTGAGATGAAATTCTAGATAGCAATTGCTTTCAAAGGACAATTTTTTTCCCTATCATTTACTCCCCTCCAGATATTTTTTAAGAACCAATTTTTGCTTCATTAACACTCAGAGGACCTGAAAAACAGAAAGACACTCATCCACAAACCAGCTCTTGCCCAGGGCAGGAGGTGGGTGGAGAAGTAGGTTTTGGACTTGGCTTTTCTGTCCACAGATGAAAGGCATGGGCGCACGTGTCCCCTTAGGAGCAGCACTGTTAGCTCTGCTCCGGGCTGTGCTCCCACTCCCGGCAAAGAGCAGCTGGGGAGACGTTTCTGCTCACCAAGACCCAAGCCTGTGTCAGCCCTAAGCCAGGCCATCTGCTTCCCACCAGGCTCTGGGTCGCCTTGTTGGGGACACTGACTCCTGTCTGCAGCCCTTGCTCTCTTTGCTCATGCGCCCTTTCTCTCCATTAAAGAGGTCTTCCTATGGTGATCTGCTCTGGAAAACCCCGAGTGACCTGTTTCTTCTCTTCTCTACCAGAATAGCAAGACCTGCCCTTCCAGCTCCTCTCCTCATGTGCTTATCTGAGTGGGCCCGCAGTGACCCAGAGTGAATTTGCCATTGGCCCAACATGAACTGGAAGGTGAGAATAGTTTTCAACATTATGGCTTGGTTTTTTTCCTTTGTTCTCATTGTAAAAATTCAGAATAACAGTTCTGTAGATGTAGGTTGATTAAAAAGAAAAAAGTGGATTAAAGCAGGAATCCTAATAATACTTTAAAAGTAATATTTTCAGTTAAAACAAATAAAAAGTACATTTATTCCCCAGACTTTTGGAGGAAGGCGAGGCCCTTTCTTTGGGTGTATAGACTTCGGATCTGCCTCACTCTTCTTGCAGAAATCGTGCCTTTAAAGTTTTACCTACAGTTTCACATTTTGGTTTCTTTAAAGTGGGTTAATATTTTAGGAAACAATCTACATACAAGATACTTCCAGATTTTTATGTTTTTCTTCCCTAATCTTTTACATTTGTGTTGCCAACAGCACTTTTTTTTTTCAACCTAAATTTGAAAATGCATTGAAAGCATTCGATTTAGTTTTCACGGAAACAGTTTTTTCCTTCTATAACATAGCCATATTTCCTAAGTATTGTGTTTAGATAAATTATCCATTATAACATCAAGTACAGCTTCAACTGGTTGGGGAATAAGCTTAGCTGACTTCTGTAGCACAGACTCAGCCTCCGGGAGCACAGGTCCAAGGGCAATCAGACGGTCGCCTGCAAGCTGTGGGCATTCAGTGGGCTCTGGGCATTCGTGGGCGGGTCTCACAGAGGGAAAGGAGAGTCATCACTTTAAATCCCTGAAGTACATGGGGTGTGATAAAGGTTGATTAAGAGAGCAGCCACTGGGGCGCCTGGGTGGCTCAGTTGGTTAGGCGACTGCCTTCGGCTCAGGTCAT